CGTTTTGGGCATACCGGCATGGGATTATGTCCGCAACTTTCTGGGGATTATGACCGAACCCCCATAATGGAATGGGGATTATGTGCAAGAAAAAAACGGTCACTAACCCCAGAAAGTAGCGGACATAACTCCCATAATAATGGGTCCAAAGGCTTTTTCATCTGGGTATGTCCGGCACCGGCTAACGTGAACTCAAGTTAACTACATTTAAAAATTTTTGTAAGTAGCCCCCACAGCAAACGTTCATACTCCCCACTTTATTATGGGTTATTATTGTAATTTGGGTTAGTTCCGGGTTCCGGTTTTGGCTTTTCCATTTTAAATAAAAGTGTAAATGGGGGTGGCGGAAATATCAACCTAATCAATGAAAGGATGCTACAAACCTCGAAATATTGGTCCTAGACCCACTATTTTACATATGTATCTACCAATCTTGCCGAACTGGGTCGAATAAGCTATGTGTGTCAGTCTGTCCATTTCTATTTGTAATCACGCTACAGGTGACAATTAGGGTTAGGATCAGAATAAAAACTTTTAGGCCTTGAGATGGGCCAACAAAAAATTTTTCTGATTTAGTAGTTTCTCAGGTCATAATTATATACCAACTGGCACCTAATTTTGCGAGGGGTTAGAGTTTAGAAAAGAAGCGCACCTTTTGGGATCGACACAACACAGCGGATTAAATTGACCATACCTTTTGTGTGAAATATCCATTTTCAAACACAATATTTTATTTTGTTTAAATTTTGAGAATGAACGATTGATATTTTTGATTCTCTATTTTGGCATTTCGTTTTGTTTGTGTTGGAGTTAGATGAACCAGAATTTGCCCATATGGAAAAAAGCTCTTTTTGTTTACCTTCGTACGAAAACCAAAAATTCTATTTGTCTGCCATTTTCCTTGCAATTGAAAGAAAAATAAGTTTGCTGAACAGGCTATGAATGGTACTCAATATGGTATTGAGTGTAGGAAAAATAGCTTAAAATGGGAATAACGTTTAGAAAAGAAGATAAATTTGGAATGTCGACTTCAACATTTACGAAAAGTACTAAATTTGATTTTATCGTATCGTCCTAGATTTTATACCATTCGTTTAGAACGACCGGCTATAGCTGCGATTGTGTGCCTACAACGTTGGTTAGTACAACCATAATGATGTACAAAAGGGGTTCTAAACAAGTAAAAAAACATTAAGTTCGGCCGGGCCAAACTTTTAATACCCTCCACCTTAGAGTAAAGGAAACATTAGAAGAAATGTGGCAAAAACCATTAAAATGCTGAATATCGGGAGGTACCGTTATATAGGGGCTATACCAAATCGTGGACCTACACATGCAATGTTTCGCCAAAGGAGCTAGAACCCATTCTGGCCCACAAATACCATTTTTAAGACAAATCAATGAAAAAATGTGGTAAAAACCATCAAAATACCGAATATCGGGAGGTACCGTTATATGGGGGCTATACCAAATCGTGGACCTATGCATGCAATGTTTCGCTACACGAACTAGGGCCCATTATGATCTACAACTACCAATTTTTAGACATATCCGTGAAGAAATGTGTCAAAAATCATCAAAATACCGAACATTGGGAGATACCGTTATGTGGGGACTATAGCAAAACGTTGACATACACATACAATGTTTCGCCACACGAAGTAGGACCCATTCTGGCCCACAAATACCATTTTTAAGACAAATTATTGAAAAAATATGGTAAAAACCATAAAAATACCGAATATCGGGAGGTACCGTTATATGGGGGATATACCAAATCGTGGACCCATACATGCAATATTTCGCCACCGGAGCTGGAACCCATTATGACCAACAAATACCAATTTTTAGACAAATCCGTGAAAAATGTGGCAAAAATAATCAAAATACCGAATATCGGGATGTACCTTTATATGGGGGCTATACCAAAACGTGAACCTATGCATGCAATGTTTTGCCACACGCACAGGAACTCGTTATGACCTACAAATACCAATTTTCAGACAAATCCGTGAAAAAATGTGGCATAAATCATCAAAATACCCAATATCGGGAAGTACCGTTATATGGGGACTATACCAGAACGTGGACCGATATATCTCATTTTCAATATATATATATATATATATATATATATATATATATATATATATATATATATATATATATATATATAGGTAATCTAGTAAAAAGTTTTACACTCTTGCAGTTCTGTACCAAAGCAATTGAATTCATACATTTATATAGGGAGACCACATACGTCTGGCATTGATTCGAGGATTTGTTATCTATATCCGTTTGCAATAGTTTAAATATTACGTTCACCAACATCATATCATCACTCAGGACGTCCAATAAACAGATTTTACATATTTAGCAGTGTGTCTTTATCTTAATTATTTTGATTTTACTATATGTCCGGTCTAGCTGCTCCCTTTTTCTCGAAGAAAAATAATATTCCTTTAAAATCATTAAAAGTTTAATTTTAATATCTTAACATGGCAAAACGAAAGATGTAGAATCATTTCCTAAATCGATTAAGTCATTTTTAAAGTACTCAACATTGTCGATTTTCAAATAAAATTTGTTTTCATTTCTGAAATAATGACCTGTGACGAGTGGCTATTTTACAAAAATAATATATAATGTATTACTTCCGACTGAAAAACGACAACGACAAAATCTTCGCAATACATGTTATATGGATTCGTAATAAAATTATATCTTAGGCTGACAATTTTCTGCAATGGAATTAAGGTCAATTTGACTGAAAATTTGGGACGATAATTTCTACCAGTATTATAGCAAAATAATCGATATTGCCGTGCATCATACATGTCCTAACTGTCGCAAAATGATATTTTGAAACAAAATTCGACCATTCTATAATCATGTAAAAAGACTTACAAGACTTATGGGGCTAATATTTTAGATTTTGTTGTGTAGCCTATAAAATAAATAACAAAATATTTGCTTGGAAATAAATTAAAAAAAAATATTAAAAAAATGGTAATCACATAATTTTACCTTGGTAATTGAGTCATAATATTGAATACAAAGCTGCAGCTTTTATTTTTGAGGTGCCTTTGATGAAAAAACTGCAACAAACTTCGGCAAATATTGAAAAATGAGATCGGGGTAAAGCCATTGAAATTCCAACAAATGCAAGAACTTACACAGCAACAGAAGGAAAATAAACTCAAAAGAGCTAAAGAGTTGCTTCGCTTGGCAGAGAGTGGTGAACTGTCGAATATGGGCAGTGTTTTCTCTGATGAGAAAAAATTCGTTGTCCAGCAATTTATTAACAAACAAAATGATCGTGTTTACTTGCCAAAGAAGTCAGCTGAAAATGTGCATCTTCGGTTGGCCACCAGAACTCAAGCGCCGGCCATAGTGATGGTGTGGGCCGCCATAACAGCCTATGGTCGCTCTCCGCTCGTATTAATCCACCGTGGCATCAGAATGAATGCCGAATATTATCGCGAAAATATTCTGGAGAGTGTATTTAAGACTTGGGCACGCAAACATTTTGGCCGCAGACCTTGGACATTCCAACCGGACTCAGCACCATCAGCAATCCGTTGGACTATTGTATATGGAGTATTTTGGAAAGCAAGGTTGGCACTAAAAAATACCAAAGTGTCGATCACCTCAAGCAAGCGCTTTGTCGGGATGGGCCAAAATACCGCAGAGCAACATTCAGGCAGCGTATGACAGTTTTATTGGCCATAATTCGTGCCAAAGGTGACCAATTCGAAAAAATGTAAACTTATTCTTAAATTTTATGCTATTTCCGACATTTTTTGCTTTCATTCAATAAAATTAAAAAAAAAAAGCGTAAAAATAATGGCGTTTGACTTTGTTGCAGTTTTTTTTTAGCGACGGCTGAGTTCTTGTGGCTGTAACACCTGACCAAGGTTTTAATACACCCTCCAGAATATTTTCGCGATAATATTCGGCATTTATTTTGATGCCACGGTCGATTAATAGGAGCGGAGAGCGACCATCGTCTGTTGTTGTGGGTCGCCATAACAGCCGATGGTCGCTCTCGGCTTGAATTCCATCACGAATAACTTTTTTTCTGGAAAATTCTCATCAAAATGCTTTTGTACGCTTGTAAACAATATAATGAGCTGTCACTGGCATAATTTTAACAGCTGTCGGACGAGTGGGTTAGAAATGACAACAGTCTGAAGTTGGTTGCAGTTTTTTCATCTCACCCTGTATAGCTCCCATATATATATCCTCAACCGATTTCCGCTTAATTGTGCACCAAATAGCCAATATCAAATCCAAGTGACCTGAATTTTGGCATATCCGACCGAATTCAGTCTAGTCAGCAAGTACATTAAATTTGTTGAAAATCGATTCAGATATAGCTTTAGCTCCCATATATATGTTTCATCTGATTTGGTGTTTAAGCCCCGCACATTCGTAACATGAATTCGACAACAAAGATATTTTCTCCCAATTATCTTATAAAGCTCGGTAATACCTTTCCCAGATTTTATCGAACATATATCCCATAAATATCCCTAATCCGATTTCAGGTTTATTGTGCAAATAATGGCTAATCTCAGCCCACATGAAGTGAATTTCGGTACGTACGTTTGGTATCGCGAGTATTTACTTGAAATAAATTCTTTTGTTACGGTAGCTCCACTAAATATGCATAGTGGTGTAGGGTATCATATAGTCGGCCCGCCCGACTTTTGACTTTTCCTTACTGGTTTTGATTTTTATTTGTTATAGTTTACCTTTTATAAGTTCAACCATGCTCTATTATTGAAAAATATTTTCCAACTTCATTTCACTAAATACACTTCTTGATTCGAAAGCATGTGGATTTGGCTGAGTGCCTTTAAAAAATAAACCAGTAGCGTAACCTTAGACCCACCATCAAAGCACCGAAGACCATATATCATAATAAAAAGGTGTATTGGTTTTGCATATCTATTCGTTCATATGCCAGTGCAAAATAGAATAAAACTATAATTACACAAAATTATTTGTTGGTTTTGAGTGAAGTATTTATGACAGGACCAAACCGGTGGCCAATCCAACATTCCAGTTTTTTCTGTTGCTAATGCTTTCAACAACTGGAAATTCAAACTTTCACTGAACGATATGAAAGCGTGTGGTCATACTGAAGTTACCCAGCAATAGCCAAGGCGGACGATGTAGTTTTCCGCACATCGTTCACATAAACGGTTGTTTGCTGTAAAGCTGCTCTCAGATAAACATTGAAGGAGAAATAAACTACAACTACGTACAAAATCTATAAAATATGTCGTTGATTTTCAAAGAATTGGAAACAGAAATTGCGAAGCGTGTAGATGCATTCTATGTCGATAAAAATTGTTTTATTGAGGTGTTACCGGGGAATGTTATAGTGCCAAGAAAGTTTAAAGATATCGGAGAATCAATAAGACACTTGAAGACGTATCCCGATGACGTTTGGCTAGTGTCATATCCTAGGACTGGATCCACATGGGCCCAAGAAATGATCTGGCTGTTGGGCAATCGTTTGGACTTTGAAGGAGCCAAGCAAATGCAACAGATACGATCCCCCATAGTAGAGCTCTCTGCTCTATTCAGTGTTGATCATCACGAATGGGTTTCGTAAGTATATACATACGTGATTAGACCCATGGTACAATAAAAAGATATTGTAGAGGTACCAGCTGATTACAATAGTTTCGAATTTTTACCGAATGCGAAAGAAACAGGAAAATGCAACTCTGTAGTGGAATCTTATTCTGTCATGTCTGAAATGTTAAGTTCTTTTTCGAAAATTAAATGTCTGATGAGAGGAATTATGACACCAGGAATATAAGCTAGTGTAAACTTGACTACTGCGTAAAAAATGTAATCTGACTTAGTCATAGTTAAGAAATAGTAACAATTCGGTTTGTTTGTTAAGCTAGGAATACATAAAGCGCTTATCTGGCTTGGCCGGCTTCTTCGAAAATGAACAAAGTAGCCTAGGGCCAAAATCGAGCTAAGTCAACCTTAAACTCCTTTGTTCATCTACGAAGAAGTCAGCCCAAGCCAGATAAGCGCTTTATGTATTCCAGCCAAGTATGCTCTTTATCTATAAAAAAATGTAACTAGGACCATCAAAATACCGAATATCGGGAGGTTACGATATAAGGGGACTATAAAAAACGTAGACCTTTACATACAATGTTTCGCCACCGGAGCTAGGACCCATTATGACCTAAAAATACCAATTTTTAGACAAGTCCGTGAAATAAATGTGGCGAAAATCATCAAAATGCCAAATATCAGAGGTACCGTTATATGGCATCTATACCAAAACCAACCATCCTAGACACAATGCCAAATTTTGAAGCTCTACGTCAAATAATGTGGGCTGCATCGTGCTTTCAACAGACGGACGAACGTCGTCAAATCGACATAGAATTTTATGCTAATCATGAATATATACACTTTATGGGGTCTACGACGAATATTTAGGATTGTTAAAAACGGAATGACAAAATTAATATACCCTCCTTTTCAAAAGCAGCAAATACGGCCGTACTTTTAATACCCTCCACCATTGGGAAGGAACTTTAAAAATTAAAAAAATACATTTTAAATGAAAACCGTTATAAGTTAGCTATACGAAGACTTGGACCTGTACAAGTAATTTGCCATAAGCTCTTGTATCAATTCCGAAATTCAAATTCTGGTCTATAATGTCGCTAAAATTCTCAAAATACTGAAGTTTGAAGGATTGAACTACAATTCTGAAAATACAGGGTAGGATGAAAAAACTTCAACCAACTTCAGACTGCTGTCATTTCTAAGACACTCGTCCGACAGCTGTTAAAATTATTCCAGTGACAGTTCATTATATTGTTTACAAGCAAACGAAAGCATTTTGGTGAGAATTTTCCAGAAAAAGATTTATTCGTGATGGAATTCAAGCGTGAAAGTGTGATTTCTCTATATTTGGCTGGAAACCCTCATGTGGCTATCGTTAGAGCACTCCAGCATTTAAATGTGAATAAATCTTTTGTGTCTCGTGCCATCACTCGTTACCGTGATACTGGTAGCGTTGCCCGACGTCGAGGAAGTGGACGGAAGAAAACAGCAACATCAGCAGAAATGGTTCGAAAAGTAAAGAAGCGACTTGATCGAAGCCCGCGTCGCAATTGCGGAAAAATGGCTCGTGAGCTGACAATATCGTAATATTCCATTCGGCATATTGAAAAATAGGCTCGGGGTAAAACCACCGAAGTTCCAAAAATTGGAAGAACTTACACCGCAACAAAAAGAAAATAGACTCAAAAGAGCTAAAGAGTTGCTTCGCTTTTCATGTTATGTATGTTTTTGCTCAAGTTTGAGATTTTTATTATTTGATGCGCTCAGAGGTCAGTAAGCTAAACACATCAAATAATAAAATGTTTTTCTTTTCTCCTTCTCCTGGACAGGAATACTCTGGGAAGCACTGTTGAAACGGTACACAACTTGCCGCGACCCCGGTTTGCACGTTCACACTTGCCATGGCATTTATTGCCACAAGATTTGGAGGAATCCAATGCCAAGGTTGGTTAAATTTATTGCTATTCAAAATTCTTTTTAAATACTATAATTTAACCCTTTTCAGATTGTATATACTTCCCGAAATCCTAAAGATCTTTGCGTCTCATTTTATCACTACTGTAAACTAATGCACGGCTTACAGGGCTCTTTCGAGGAGTTTTTAGAATTATTTATCGATGAACTAACACCAATTGGTTCTTATTGGAAACATGTGTTGCCCTTTTGGGAGCGAAGACTTAATCCAAATGTCCTATTTCTAAAATATGAGGATATGAAGCGCGATTTGCCAGCAACAATTCGAAAATGTGCTGCGTTCTTAAATGTCGATTATGAACTAACAGAGGAAGATATGAAGAAAATATGTGAACATCTTAAATTTGATAAAATGCAATCAAATCCAGCAGTTAATTTGGATGCAATTCTAAACAACTTCGATTCGAATGGCAATCCAAGCACTGAAGATAAATCAAATGATCAAATAAAATTTATTCGTAAGGGCCAAATTGGCGATTGGAAAAATTACATATCAAACGAAATGTCCGAAAATTTTGATGAATGGATAGTAAAAAATTCCAGTGGCACGGGACTGTTATTTGAATATGAATAATCCGGATATAGAAACTTGTTACTCCCGGCATTTAATAATGGTATTACATAAAATATGTAACCATGTGCCGCGGTATTTATTAGTTACATAATATACATGTATGTTCAATAAAAAAGAATTGTTTAACACATAATTGCTCTATTCCAGAACCGCAAGAATCTAAATCTTTTTATAACCGATTTTTTTCTTTATGGTATCGAAAATTGTTGCAACACTAATAGATTCTTGCAGGTTTTGGAAAAAAGTAATGTTTTATTTAATAATGTAAGCAAAAGACTAGCAAACCGAATGAAAAGGTCAACTTTTCAAACTCATGTTCTACAAGGTGAGATAAAAAAACTGCAACAAAGTCATACATTTGACATTTTTTTAAAATTTTATTGAATAAAAGCAAAAAAATATCGGAAATGGCATCAAATTTTAGAATAAGTTTAGATTTGTTCGAATTGGTCACCTTTGGAACGAATTATGGCCATCAAACGACCAATGAAACCGTCACACGCTGCCCGAATGTTGCTCTGCGGTATTTTGATCCATTCCCGGCGAAGCGCTTGCTTGAGGCAACTTTGCTTTCCAAAACACTCCAGACATAATATTCCAACGGATTGGTATCCGGAGATTTTGGTGGTCATTGTGCGCTGGAAATGAAGCGCCGAACCTCATTTTGTAACCATTCCTGGGTGGCACGTGCTGAGAGCGATGGTGCTGAGTCCTGTTGGAATGTCCAACGTCTGCGGCCAAAGTGTTTGCGAATATTTTCACGATAATATTCGGCATTTATTTTGATACCACTGTCCATTAATACTAGCGGAGAGCGACCATTGGCTGTTATAACGGCCCACACCATCACCATGGCCGGCGCTTGAGTTTTGGTGGCCAAGCGTAGGTGCACGTTTTCAACTGCCCTCTTTGGCAAGTAAACACGATAATTTTGCTTGTTTACAAACTGCGGGATAACAAATGTTTTATCATCGGAGAAAACCAAATTCGGCAATTCACCACTTTCGGCCAAGCGAAGCAACTCTTTAGCTCTTTTGAGTCTATTTTTTTTTCTGTTGCGATGTAGGTTCTTGCACTTTTTGGAATTTCAATGGCTTTACCTCGAGTTCATCTTTCAATATATACCGAATGGAATATTGCTATATGTTCAGCTCACGAGCCATTTTTGAGCTCTCACTGGAATAATTTTAACAACTGTCGGACGAGTGGCTTGGAAATTACAGCAGTCTGAAGTTGGTTGCAGTTTTTTCATCTCACCCTGTAGAAAATTTGAGGCAAATTGTTTTGCACCTATCAGATCATTTCATTTTGAAATATTTAATAATTTTGTTATGTTATTATTTACATTTAAAAAATATCTATATTTGCAAGGAATTTCGACATGTAGAGTAACTGGAAAATAAGGAAAATTTTCAGTTTTTATACATTTTAACGAACGGACGGACGGCCATACCTAGCTTGATCGACTCAGCTCGGCGAGAGAGTAAGATCCATATATACTTTCCTATGTGAGAAATCAATATTTCGAGATTTTACATTATTTTTGGCCCAATCAAGCTTATAATACCCCCAACACATAGTGTTGTAGGGTATAAAAATATTTATGGTTTCCCAACAAATAAAATCCAACACTGTTTCAGTTACTTTTCCATTTATAAAGTGCCTTATATGGCAGTGCATGTAGATAGAAATTTGAACAACGCCAAATACAGATTAACTTACTATTTTTCATTTGTTTTTTGTTCGCCTCAATGTCAACGTGATTCATTTATGGAAAATAAATTTTCCAGGTATGGTATTCATCAACGATACATTCTGACATATATTATTCGCTTTATTGCGTTGAAAGAACTATTCAATAAATACCCAAATAAATATATATGTACTTTTATTCTTAGATTCTTCAATACTAGATAAATGTGCGTATATAAAGCGAGGACAACATCAATTGTTGTTCATTATATTTGGCTATGGGACATACTTTTCAAAAGACTACAACCATGGTAGAAATACCAGGTAGCAACATAGGCGAAAATTACAACAAAGCAACTTTTTTGGAAACTTGATATGTCAAAGTTGTAAACAGGGTGAATTGATTTGAAGTACAAAATTTGGGGCAAATTGTTTTATAAATTCAAAATATTTAATTAAAAATGTTCAAAAATTTTTTTCTTTTAAAAATTAAAACATTTGAAACTTCCTACTTGATTTTTGCACGTTTAATACAACATTACTGAAAATCGTAGAGACTGGAAATGGAGTGGTCACCCACAATGCGTAGTATCAAGCGTGCCAACGAGAGACATTTGCGATAATAGATGTCCAATCGTTGTTATCTCTTCATCAGTATGCAGTCTTGGTAACGTTGATTTCATATTTAACAGCTAAAAAATTTATTACAAGAAGATATCCGACCAATTAGTTTTGATGCTTTAAAATTTGGTTTGTGGTGGTTCTGTGGTATGCCATTTTTTTCTTTTGCTAAATCGTCAGCATTCTTGTTTTTTTTCAGTAATATAGTGACCTGCTACCTAAAAGGTACTTTATGTTTTTTTTACTCCACAGGCTTACTTAAGATTTGGATCAAAGATTGAAGAAGATACAGGGGCTGAGACTACTGTGAGTCCAGGCATATTGTTTGCTCAGCTATGAAATGTATAGTAGACTTGCAGGAAGTCGTTTATATATAGATAACTTTTATACATTTGGACATTGAGGTCAGTACGGGATGAATGTTTTGTTCCCCAAAGCAATCCAATGCTGTATAGTATAACATAGCTAAAAATCCGAACAAATAAGATGATGAAATTCCATGTATCGGTTTATCTCCTTTATGAAATTGCTTCCACGAGTTTTAGATATCTATATTACCTATGCCTACCATATGTTGAATATACACTTTTTCCCTCATACTCTATAGAAACGCAACATCTCGATTTTCTATTAATTGAATTGTTAAATTTTGAAATCATGCAACAACTTTTTTATGTGTAAATGAAAGACGAATTCAAATTACAACAATTTTTGACATATCAAATTAATACCAGCTGGCCTGAAAGGGCTACCTTGTTATTCTACCATGACTACAACAGTTTAGAAATAAAACAGGATAAAAATACAACAAACAAAAAAAAATGTTTTTATTTGTTGTTTGTTGTTTTATACTATTTGGTTGTGCTTCCTCCTCAGTGTCAAAGGGAGATCTATGTATATGCCCGGTTATACTCTAAGATTTTCAAAATGGTGCTAAGTGTATAAGTTTTGGCTTCCCAGCCAAAACAACAAAAGGGAGGTTGTACTACAAAATAACTCCAACAACTACTAAATTTTTACTAGGTATCCTCTGTGGCAGAGTATAAGCACAAGCCTATACAATAACTATTAACGATATCTTGGCCTAAGTGTAGCGGCTTTATAAATCTGTACAAAAAATAAACTAGATACAGGATTAGAAAGGACATGACAAACTATGAAAAATACAATTCTGTACTAGATCTTATTATCGCGCATTTAGATAAATAAAAATACCCGGCTTAACCCACATTATCAGATTTTAATTCTTAATTCGAATTTGTGCGACCAGATTTACCATACATCTCACGACCGAATTTATTTATTATCCGGTGTACAATCTACTAACAAAAAGCATATTTACAGAAAAACTTAACATTTTATTTGCTCATGAAAATACACATGGAAGAATTAAAAAATTAAAGTAAGGCAATTACAAAATTTTCATTTGACAAAATCTCATGGTCAAAATTTATATTTATAAATCCATTGTATATACACAAATAAGAAATGGAAACCTATTTTCTATGAAGTAAAATTTGACAAGGAAAATTACAGAAAATGCAGAGATGGATACGCTTCTTTGAAATGACTTCACCTTATTAATTTTACCATGATAATACATTGGAAGATACATTATTTTCCTTGCAAAAGTTGAATAAACACTTATTTTCCAACATTAATTGTCTCTGTATTAGATTTTTGATACATCATTTTGGCTATTTTTGCCTTCTCTTTTGGTTGTGTATGGATACGTAAACAAGTAAAAAAACTTTAAGTACGGACGAATTTCTAATACCCTCCAGCATTAGGAAAAAAAACATTTCTTAATAAAAGTTTATGGATTCAACAGTTTTTTTATATTTAATCTACAAATACTGGTGGGATCGGTTGGGAAATACAATTAAAGGACCAGGCTAGGACCATCAAAATATCGAATATCTGTATGCACCCTTATATGGAAACCTTGGACGAATATGGACAATGTGTTGACACCTGTCGTAAAACCTTTAATAAACTACAAATGCCGAACTTTAAATAAATCCGATATGTACCATTATATGGGTGCTATAGTAAAAACCAATATAGACAATGCTTAGCCACAGAAGGTAGAACCCGCTACAAATTTGGAACAAGTCCTCGGAAAATGGGTCTAATATAATTAAAATACCAATTATCGGGAGCTGCTTTATATGGGGGTCATAGGAAAACCGACACCGACACATTCAATCTTCTGGCACCGAGGCTAGAACCCATTACAAAACTAGAAAAAAATGTAGCTAAGACAATCAAAATACCGAATATTGGGAGGTACCGTTATATTGGGGCTAAACCAAAACGTGGGCCGATATACCGCATTTTCAATAATAATCATCTTAGAAACAATAAAAACTATTGAGCCAAATTTTAAAGCTTTACGCCAATAACCGCTAAGTCTACTTAGAATTTTGGAAGTTACCGTTATATGGGGGCTATACCAAAACGTGGAACGATATACCTCATTTTCAATACTAACCATCTTAGACACACTACAAACTAGCTTTACGTCAACAACCGCTAAGTCTACTTAGAATTGATCATGAATATATATACCTCATTTTCAATACTAACCATCTTAGACACAATACAAACTAGCTTTACGTCAATAACAGCTAAGTCTACTTAGAATAGAATAGAGTAGCATAGAATAGAATAGAACAGAATAGAATAGTATAGAATAGAATAGAAAGGTTGTTCAACTTCAACGAAACTAGAAAAATACGACTCTGTGCTGGAGTCTTATAGTGTCAAATAGACTTTTAAATATGCTACAGATGGTTTGGTTTATGTTGGGGTCATAGGAAAACCTACACCGACACATTCAATCTTCTGGCACCGAGGCTAGAACCCATTACAAAACTAGAAAAAAAAAATGTAGCTAAAACAATCAAAATACCGAGTATTGGGAGGTAATCAATAACCGCTAAGTCTACTTAGAATTGATCATGAATATATATACCTTGTGGTATCTAGAACGAATTTTTAGAGGTGTTACAAACGGAATGACACATTTAATTCTATGGTGATGGGTATAAAAATAAGTATGAATTGAGCGAGGACATTTGTGCCCTTTTTGAAGCCCTACAAGTTCCTAAAATACAAACCCAAATGAATTCTTTTTTCAGTTGAAGCCATTAAAAATAGAATAGAATATAATAGAAAAGAATAGAATAGCATAGAATAGAATAGAATAAAATAAAATAGAATAGAATATAATAGAAAGGTTGTTAAACTTCAACGAAACTAGAAAAATACGACTCTGTGCTGGAGTCTTATAGTGTCAAATAGACTTTTAAATATGCTACAGATGGTTTGGTTTATGTTTCATTTTTAACAAAATTCTTAAATTGGGGAAAATACGCGAAAAAAGAAGGGAATTTTGGGGTTATTCCTCAAGATTAAATCTAAATAGCAGGACAATAAAATTTTATGTGAAAATTTTAAAATGTGGGCGTCGAAAATTAAATTAAAAAAATACACACATTTTGCGTAAGTGTGTGTATTGTCTTGAATAAAAAATACAATAATTTGAAATTATTTCAAATTTGGTTGCAAATTAATGGAAATTTTCGATGAAATGTGCAACAAATTGTACAATTTTGTGATAAAACTGTAACTGTATTTAGATTCAATCTTGTGAAATATCCCTGAAATTCCATTCTTGTTTCACGGGTTTTTTCCAATATAAGAAAAGATCAGAAAATATCATTCTCTTGAATGATTTTGGCCCTAATCTCTCCACACTTCAAGCAATTGCTAGAAATCGTGGAAAAGGCAATGTCCCTTTCAAGTTGAAACCAAACAACATACATACAAAAAGTATTCTACATTTTGCAATTTTAGGAAACATGAAATATACGAATATGTTATCCAACGTGGTGTCGCTGCTCCTTAATCGCAAAAAAAAGTTTCAGAACCATCGCCTTTGGCGTTTTGTTTAGTACAGGCAATTTTTTCTATTATTAGACAAAAAAATGTGTTCACATTGCCCTGCAGTTAAATTTTATATCAAAAATGGGTATACCCATGGTACAATAAGGAGGTAGGACAGCTTCGTAAAACTACAAAAATACAGCCCTGAGGCTATGTCCGCTTACTGTCAGACTCATTCAAAATTATTGTTTTAATTTTTCCAAGCGCGAAGAATGAATGAAATTACTGGATTTTTCTCTCAAAAATATGATCCTAACCATTCAATTTCATGGCTATATTGGTCAATAGCTTTAATGCGCGAGCCGCAATTTATGTGTCTTCCAATCATTGCTTGGGAAAATATTTTTTTTTCATTTTTCAAAACAATAAATACATACACAAAATTGGCAGAAGTCGGGCACACTTAGAAAAAAATTGTAATCAGCTGGTAGCTCTACCTTACCTTTTTTATTGTACCATGGGTATACCTATTGTATATCAAGAAATGGAATTAAATAACAAAACGTCTGAATGAGAAAAGAAAACCAAATGAATGGTTTGGCTGTTGATTCAATTCTAATTTTATTATGAAAATATTTTTCTTAAGTACTACTGTACAGTACATTTTGATTGTTTATTGCTAGTTTTTGCCTCAACCGCACTCAAAAGTATGTACAAAGTAATTTGTACAACGTCATATCGAGTTTGACACTAGTATTACTATAGAGTCAAATCAGGTGGGACTTCCTGTTAACTGTAATAATTATACCATGGTTCTCAACTAATAAACAAACGTTGCCTGACCATATAACATTGATATGTCAAAATTTTTGAAATGTTGTATCAAAATTAAGTAGATTATTAAATTTTTTTTTTTTTTTTTTTTTTGATACGATGCAAATTTGAGGTTGTTATAATCGGTTTGACAGTTCATTGTCCCAGCAGCTTTTTCGATGCGACTACCTGTATTCTTCTACCATGGAGTAGCTTTGTTCTACCTTTTGTAAGTGTGCCATTTTTCTGTTGATGGAGAGCAAATAAAAAGAAAAAATGAATGTAAAATAATTATTAAAATTGTCCTTAAAAATGAATTAATAATAAATTATTTTCTTTAATATTTTTATCAATCCTGTGTTTCTTTTAATAATATATTGTTTCATGCAATTCCATTTCTTATTTTGTTTAAATGCTTTTCCAGCCGATTAAGTTTTCAAGTGACACCTCTTATATTTGCAAACCTGTTAAAGCAAAGAAGAGCCGCCGATTGATATAAAAGTTGACGGCGCTCACATTCTACTGCAGCGACATTATGGCTTGATCGAGAACAAAACAATCAACGCAAAATAAATTCACGACAAACGCGTATTTCAAACGGACAAAAGTGCACAAAGGAACAAAGATATTGAGTGCAATTTCCAAAAACAGAAAACTCTAGATATATTATATTGCATTAAAAAAATGGCTCAATCGGAGGAACAAACTGGAGATTTTGTTAATCGCTCTACTAACACAGAGGATTTTCCCGATGCATTCGGATCATTGGGTTCAACATCGACAAGCTATTATGGTGGCGGCTATAACAATGCTGGAAATCAACACCAGATGCAGCAGGGTGCAATAGCCCAATTAGCGAACAAAGGTTTCGGTACATCGTCTACATCAAATTATACTGCCAGGATGCCGACTGACCGTCATGCAGTTGAGTACAATATGCGTCATAAAAACCGGGGGCTTGCCATGATTTTTAATCATGAACATTTCACTGTGCAATCACTCAAATCAAGATCAGGCACAAACGTCGATTGTGATAATTTGGCTCGATGTCTCAAACAACTAGATTTTGATGTTCAGATTTATAAAGATTTTACACTAAAAGAACTTATGCGTCAGGTTGAATGGGCAGCTAGCCAGGATCACACCAATAACGATTGTATTTTGGTGACCATTCTTTCGCACGGAGAATTGGGCTATATTTATGCTAAAGATACGCAGTACAAATTGGACAGTATTTGGAGTTATTTCACAGCACAACACTGTCCCACATTAGCTGGAAAGCCAAAATTATTCTTTATTCAAGCTTGTCAAGGTGATCGTTTGGACCCCGGTGTCACTATGAAACGTGCAGTGACTCAAACTGATGGTGAGTCATCAATGAGTTATAAAATACCGGTGCATGCAGATTTCCTTATTGCATACTCAACGATACCAGGGTTTTACTCATGGCGTAATACAACCAGAGGATCCTGGTTTATGCAATCTTTGTGTGCTGAGCTAACTGCCAACGGTAAACGGTACGATATACTTACATTGCTTACGTTTGTTTGTCAACGTGTTGCCGTTGATTTTGAGTCATGTACCCCAGATACACCAGATATGCACCAACAGAAGCAGATTCCATGTATAACGACAATGCTTACGCGAATACTACGTTTTTCTGAAAAGAATCAATTACCACCAGCAGCAAGAGTTTAAATCCACCGTATACCAGAAATAAAAGTGTGGATTCATTCTGGTAAATGTGATAGAATAGACAACAGTTTTGAAACTCTGGTTTTTATATCATAAAATTTCTTATTACTCATATTTATAACCAAATTTAAAAATTCGCATGTTTTTTATAAATCATAATATTCGTAGGTATATAACATCTTGTGAAATTGTATGACTGATGTCCCACTTTACAAATATCCAATAAATCTTACTTTCTTAAATTATTTCATTTAAATAAACGCTTCCATCCATATCTCTAAAATTCTCAAATTGTGGTACTCGATAAATCTATGCATTCTTTAGAGATCATAACCAATGTATATGTGTTAGACTCTCAATAATTGAAGAATTAGTGTGATAAATCACTAAATATCTATATGCTATTATATTCTTATATTAGTTTCACTTAAAAAAAATAAATAGTTTTTATTAAAATCTATAAAGTTTAATATCCAATTTTTTTTTGTCTTTTAAAATACTTATTATCATAGCCACATATAATGAACCACAAATCATGCTGCCATGTTTTTATATGCGAATCTTTTTTAGTATTGAAGCAATTATAGACTATATGCGCAAATATGTATTAATTTTGGTACTTATGGAATATTTTTACAATACAATAAATAAAATAATATGTATCCCAAAATACCAAATTGTTTATCCTCAATGAGTACCATATATGGAAAATGTAGTTTCCTTTAATGACTCAAGTTGACATTGCGACGATGAAAAAGTTGAATGCAACTAAGGTTATCAGTATTTGGATTTTACATTTTTCATTATCCATATAAGGTCTGTAAGGTGGACAACTAAAACAAAAACAGTGTTAGCATTTATTCTGTTGTGTCAAATTAATCAGGCTAGATATCATTGTTGTTGTTGTTTTAAAACAAATTGTATTTAGTAGCGCAACGCTGCAAATTTGTTAGAAGAGGAACCAAAGGAATTTCTTTGGTATTTCGTCTAAATATTTGACAATTGTCCATTTTCATCCACTATTATTCTTTTGTTGTATAAACCATATTAGCATAACATGCATGTTGGGTTTGTTTGTTACAACAAAATAAATAAACTTCATTGGCGGCGTCTTGTCTGTAAATAGAACAATTTTGACATTTAGGAACCTGCAAGACTAACAGTTTTGCAATTTTTCGGTAAAATGAATGAAAAATCAGTTATCCTGCCGGTTCTGGAACTAAGTATTTGATATTTCAGGCTAATACCACTTTTGTTGTTCTTATAAAAACAATTCTTATCTATTTGTGGAGAAAAATGGCTTCTCTGTTCTATGGAAAGGAAAGGCAACAACAAAGAAGAGTTTTGTTGTAACAAATAATAACTTCTATTACAAAAAACATTTTTTACCCAAGTGACGAGATCGTAAGCTCAATAGAAGAGGAACCAAAGAATTAAATAAAACTAACATTCTTTTGGAAAGTCTTCTAAATCGTACAACCGCACTTATAAACATTTACATCTTTCTCCACTTGTTATGCTTTCGTTCAACCTGAACGAAGTAGCATAACCATGTAAGTTGGTTTTGTCTGTTACAACAAAAACCACTTCGTCGACCGTGGCTTGTCTATTAATAGAACAGTGTTGGTTGTTTGTTCGGGATACCGCAGTATTTTGTTGTTGCAAAATGGTCAGGCTTTATCCCTTTATTGTTGTTTTTATAAAACAACGTTTGTTTATTAGTGGAGAACGATGGTAATGTCTACCAGGTGGTGAAAAATTTTTTTTGTAATAGAAGTTATTTTTTAAAATAATTTGATGGATCCAAAATTAAATTTTAAATAATCATGTAAAAACAATGATAAATAAAGCAAATGGTGTTTTAAGTTCTGTAAAACGAATAGCCAAAGAATTTTCTGATCTATATATAACAAAACATTTATGTTTCTTGTTAGACCTATATTATATCAGTGTAAAAACAATTTTTGCTTTGAGAGATCTGCAATGGTTTAGCTATTTTCTTTTGCCTTCTTATAATAGCAGGCTAAAGTTAGTCAGATTGTCTACACTAAAAAACAGACGTATTATGTTGAACTCAATGAATATTAGAATTAATGTTCGTTTTAGATCTAGTACAGGGTTGCCTATATTCGACGGACCCATGTTTTGTTATGCGACTTGTGTGCGGTGGAGCGCCGTCTTGTTTAAACCAAAACTGCCTCATACGCTTTCGACGAATAATTGGCATCACAAAATTGGTCATCATGTCGCGATAACGCTCCTGATTGATGGTAACAGCATGGCCATTTTCATTTTGGAAAAAAACGGCCCAATGACCGTTTTCGCACTAACGCCGCACGAAACTGTGACTTTTTCGTCATGAAGAGGCACTTCTTGAATCTCCTGAGGATTTTCAGTGGCGTAAAAACGGCAATTTTGCTTATTTACGGTCCCTTAGAAGGCTCACTTCTCACATTTTTTAATGTTTTAAAAGCACGTTGAGTTTTCACAATTGACTTCTTCTGTTGAATGTAAATTTCAACTATTTCAGAGCGGTCGCGTGGCGTGTATAGGTAAATGGTATCTGCTTGGACTGACGCTTCAAACGCGGCGTTGGCAGATGGGTCCGTCGAATATGGGCAACCCTGTAGATACTATCAAATATTATTCACCGATTTTCACCTGACGAATTATTCAATGTGTGTTGATTTTAATTCAGTTCACTATAATGTTGATTTTAGTATGAATTTAGAAATCATAAAATTATTAGAATAATTTTATTTTTAAATGACTAAGATATGTACGTTGTATTGTTTTGTAAATTATCTGATGCAGTAGATTCTGTAGCAGGTTTTCTATTGCCTACTCAATTATTTTCATGATGCGGATCGTGATGAGTACGCGATCCCTACGAAAAGGGAGGACGCCATCTCGGTCAGCAGGGTCTGGACGTACAATTGTCAATGTTGTCGAAATTGATTCAGATATGAATCAAATAGATTTCCCTCTGATTTTATGTTTACTTATTTCACGTAAATTCCCAATATAAAAGTTTATTTGTTTGGGTAGATTTTCTTAATGTTCATTGTGGTCTAGGGTATACAGTTGGCTCGTCCGACTTCTGTCCATTATTTACTAGTTGAAGACTTGGTAACAAATATCCATATTAAAAAGTGAAATTCTATGTTCGAAATGTCAAATATTTAAAGACGATGGATTTTGCAAAAACGTGGTGGTGTCCTTATTGCAATTGACAATATTATTATTGATATAATTGAACTTAAAACTGTAACATATTTTTACATTCCTCCTTTGCAATTATTTGACATGCTGATTATAAGCATTAAACTGTAATGAATTTTATAGTTTTTAGTCATATAATAACAATGGTAAATAAAACAAATGATTTTTTAGGTATTGTAAAACAATTATTCTTATACAAGCATAACAAAACAGCTAATTTCGTTTTTTGTTAGAACAATATGCAAGATATAATTTGATACTTTTTAATTAGACGAGCTTTGGTCGGAGGCTTGTGATTTTATCCTCTGGGTAAGTCCGACAACGACTACGCAAATCAACGTTTTTCAAAAAATTTGATAATATTTAAGTAGCGGACCCCCGGACTGGACTGGAGAATTTCTCCTCTGGGTATGTTTAACATCCGAATAGGGAAAAATACCTACGGAAGATATTGATGACACAGGACAGACCTTCTTTCACTGTGGACGCTGGGCAAATAACAATGAGGTGGTGGAGTTGGCACATTAACATGCGAAAATGTCATTCAAAAAGATTCTTGGAGAGGGTAAAAGTTTTTATCTAAGGAGTGCTAAAAGCCAAGAAGAAATACCTTGACGCAACTACATATATAAGACACAATAGCCGAGGCTGGATGCAAGCTCAATGTGATAAATGGAGTAAGTTAAACCAAACAAGTAAAAAAACATTAAGTTCGGACGGGCCGAACTTTTTTTCCTCATCTTAGGGTATGGAAACATTAGAACTAATTATAACCCACAAATACCAATTTTTAGACATATTCGTGGGAAAATGTGGCAAGAATCATCAAAATACCGAATATCGGGAGGTACCGCTATATATATATATATATATATATATATATATATATATATATATATATATATATATATATATATATATATATATATATATATATATATATATATACAAAAACGTGGACCTATATATACAATGTTTCGCCAACGGAGCTAGAACCTATTATGACCAACTAATTCCAATTTTTAGACAAATCCGCGAAATGTGGGAAAAAAAATCACCAAAATACCGAATATCGGCAAGTACCGTTATATGGAAGCTATACCAAAGCGGGGACCTACAATGTTTCGCCACCGGAGCTAGAACCTATTATGACCAACAAATACCTACTTTTAGACAAATCCCTGAAAAAATGTGGCAAAAATCATCAAAATACCGAATATCGGGAGGTACCGTTACATGGGGACTATACCAAAACGTGGACCGATATATCTTATTTTCAACATCGTAGATACAATAAAAAATGTTCTACTAAATTTTGACGCTCTACGTCAAATAATATGGGCTGTATCGTGTTTTCAACAGACAGACGGACATCGTTAAATTGATTTAGAATTTTATGCTGATTATGAATATATGTACGTAATGGGATCTACCATGGTACAATGATATAAAGGTAGGGCTATGATACCATATGATTTCAATTTTTTTATTTTCTTGGCTTAATATGTCATCTTTATTTGTTTACTAGCTGGCCCGGTCCGCGTTGCCGGCCCGTAGTTTTTGTCTATTATGCATATATTCCCAAGCATAATTATTCACAGATATGACTGATATAAGTGTTCACGTACAGGTCGATTTAAAGTGTTTTAAAATACCTGTACCCATTTTTGACCAGTGGGCTTCAATATTTAAACCGTGGGCTTCAACTGTGTGGATGTGCTAAACAAATTAAGTTCTAAAATTGGTAGATATGTTGAAATTTTAGTGTAAGATTTTCACCCCCCTAATACGCATTATTAGCCAAATTCTTTGAAATGTGGTTAAATTAGGAGGTACCTTCTTTATATGGGCACTACTCCGAAACATCGACCTACATTGAAAACTTTCTTCTACCCCTTATAATCCAAGATGACAAATAGAGGCCAAATCAAAAATATAGCAGAACAATATAGCATGTCATAGCATTTCGCGTGATTTAAATAAGTAAAAATAGTTTTATCCACCTCATAATTGAGGGCAGAATGATAAGATGGG